GACACAGTCTCTTCGGCCCAGATTCTGCTAACAGGTAAACAACGCTCGACCAACACACACGCATCTAATAGCAGCAAAGAAGTTACTAAAGACCAGTCACACCACCACTCATACTGGTTTTGCTGGTGCATTTATTTCTACATTCATTCTACAGTGATACCATGGGAACAGACAGCCTTCACCACCCCGAGCTTTGCAATCAGGAAGCTGCTTGCCTCAGATGTAATTTTATTAGCCACATTTGTTTAGTCTGAAATTTCAGGCTGTTGGGAACACGTCAGCTGGAGTCTCACAGCACCTGCACTAGAGCCTGGCACCGAGAAGGAAGATGTTAACTCCCTTGGAAGTAAAGTCAGCCCTTGACCACTCCCTGTGGAGTCAGTGAGGTCAGCGGTTACGGGGCTCCGTTCTGCAGGACGGGTACAACAGCCAGCCTTACTCAGGGGCTGCATTTGCAAAAGGGTCTCATGCTGGCACTTCCATTATTGCATGAAATGTTTCTTCGATTAATTACATGCATAGAGAAAAGACTGCAGATGCTCCTAGCAACTCCACTAGACAGCTGCACCAATGAAAGATTGTTCTGTAGGACTGACTATGAGCGATTGTAGGTGGAGAAGTAGAAGCTGTTCCAAAAACCTGGCTTAACTGTTCTTCTGCCTAGACTTTACACCATTTACAAGAACACAAGGTTGTAAAATAGCTCATTCCAAAACTGGAAAAGACACCTAAAGCAGATTCTCGACATCTAAAACACTCCTCTAAACAGACTGGGTGGGATTTTCAAAAGCACTCGGCATACATCTAAAACTGGGGCTGAAGCCTGTGTTACAATGCCTGAGAGAGGACCTCAGCCAGCGTCGGGTTTCTGACGACCCCACCCAATCAGCAGCAGTATCACTGAAATGCTAAATGACAATGAAGGGTTCAATCAACGAGTTCTATGGCAACTCCTACAACTACGTTTTTCCTCCGGAACGAGTCTATTTTTTCAGAGCTACACAATGCCCGAATACACGGGACGAAAGAGCAAACCACAGCCTACTCTACACAGACTGCCCTCTGCATGCATAGAGGGTGGGTAGGGACCATCTCTGGATTCCCAGTACTGCCCTTCCCTGCTCACATGGATAGGAAGGCTTTGACCAGGACAACATATTTTCCATTCTGAAAATCCCACAGGGGATTAATTCCATAGGTAACATTACTTTGGCCTACATGGCTGGGTTGGAATCACTACAACTGAGCTAGAACAGTAAACAATACCCTGAAATCTGGATTTCCTCAAAGTTATTATCCCTCCTGAGGACTCTCAGGCTCTGCTTCACCACAGCCCACTGGAACAATCCAGGAATCCCTTTCTCCTAATGCCCTCACTTTTTTCCTCCCAAACGAGATGAGTGATACAGCTCATTTCAGGCAGACATCTACGCAAACCAAACTCGAAGATACTAAATTCAAGTCCTAGTTTGACTTTCTACATCACAAGTGTGTTCCTATGTGAACAGATTTCAAAGCTTCATCAAATAACCTGTTATCTCCCTTAAACAGGAGAAGATTTTTGAGATCTGGAAGAAAAAGAGATGCCTCTGAAGAAGACCAAAGGAGCTCAGACTGAGAAGAATTAAGTTGTCACCAGTAGCTGGTGACGAACGTTGATGACTTTCAAGGACGTTAGAAGGATTTCCACAAATAAAAAGCATACAATTATAAAACTTGGAAGAAGGACTGGACCTGGACAATTTATCTTAATATAGAACCCAATGTGGTGATAAAAATACTTTACATGTAGCCAATAAACAGTTTTATATTATCACAAGGACAGAGAGAACAACGGCGTTGAACCAGAAATATCAGTTTGGACTCATCTATTTGGTAACTGTTAATTCTGTTTAAATAAGGCACAAATAATAGCCTTTTTAAAAGATCACCGATAGTCAGTGGAAAAGATTCTGTAATATCAAAAAGCTAAAAATGTACCTACTATTGAATTCAACACAGATATAAGACTGAGTTATGTTAGAACCCATACAAGGTTCCAAACCCAAAGAAGACATATTAATGTCCGTAAACACCCTATGGGCTTTACAGATAGTAAGGAAACAACGTGGCATAAGCACAGCATCTACCGTTTTGACAGATCGAAATAAAAAGTTTAAGACAAATTTTACCTTCTGTCTTTTAGCTCATTTGTCTACTTCTTTTCAGTCTGTGTTTTCACTTAGTAATGAAACAGTAAATTTTTACTACATACTTTTCGAAGATTCCGTTATCAAACTTTCAATTTTACAATCCTTATAACAACTATTGGAATATTAGCAGCCTCCCATGGCTTCCATATCTTCTGCACAAAGGCGAGAATGGGACAATCTACGTGGTAATTGGAGTTCAATGCCTAAGCCTCATGCAAAGCCCGTCAGATTTATTCTATCAGAGAGGGATTTTTGAAAATCGTTTTTCTGGCAGCATTCCTGGACTTACGCTTGATGATTTTAAAAGCAATGAAGGCCATAATTTCTGTATTTTTCCTCTTTTCCTCTCTAAGACACTAATACTGCTCATTATCTTTAATAAATAAAGAAAAGAGAACACTGTATTAGATGGAACCATGCACAGAAATATCGTATCAGATGCAGAGGAAATGAAAAGTTGAACCTTGAAATTTTTGCAAAAAAAATGCACAGACATGAATGAGATTGAGTGAGAAGCTCTACAAGAACAAAAACCTTTGTCTTGCCTGTCAGTAAGTGGCAGCCCTAGGTTTGGGTAATGTTTAGTACCAGTGAAGAATGTCCTCTACCAAGTTCGTTAATACCAGCTCTAAACAAAGGTCCAGGAGGTTGCTCTGCAGCTTTCTCATCCAAACAGCACCTGAGCCACCTTGTCTCATCCTCCTGGAAAGTTTAGAGCCAAGATTTAAGATAATTTTTATGATAATCTTGATTGGTAACAGTGCAAAATATTTTGCCAAACAACATTTTTATGCTACCAAAGACATCCACAACACGCCACGTTGATACACATGAGGAAACCAAAGGAATGTTCACGCTCTAATCAGGCACAGATATTTCTGTATGATTTGCACCTCTATAACCTTTTACCTTCATTGCACTGATTGTAAAATATAATCCTAGAGGCTCATCCTCAGTGACAAGTATTGGCCCAGCCCTTCTCCTTCAGGCACAAGCTGAAACTTTTGCCTAAACAAAGCCAAGGTCTCACTCTACTGCATCTCTTTGGTAAAGCATCAAACATCGCCTCTGTAATGATATGGATCCATTCCCCTAGGACAGATGTCCTGTAAAAGAAGCCAAAAAAACCCTTTCCATCTGTGTTAGCTAGAAGGGAAATTCATTCATAAATCTCAACGTGGCAACTGATATTCAATGTTGTTACAAACTACCATTAAGAGATTAAAGCGCAACGTGATCCGAATACAGACCTCAGGAACACGCTTGTTCAGGCCTATACTGAGATCAAGGCTAATAATTACTCATGTCAAGGACAGAAAGAAAGGAAAAAAGGTTTCTGACATGAGTTTAGAAGAGCTGGAGAGCATACTTTTCAGGCACTGTTCATTTTATACCCATGCGTTACTTCCACCAACAGCATCAGAAATAGCCTTCCAAGTTGTCAATTCCAATCTGTCAAAACTCACTTCGTGCCTTTCCTGTCCTGAGCTACTGCGGAGGACAACGTACGTGTGGTAAGGTTAGAAGGGTGGAAAAAGCAAAGGGAAGGAAAATTAAAAAATAAAAAAAAAATATAAAAAAATAGGAAAGAGCTGCTCCATGCAGCAGCAAGGATTTTCATACTTTTGATATCCAAATATTCCTCAGGAACGCTGCCAAAAGGAGGGTAAATGCTTGTTCTAAATATGATATACATCACGTTCATTTATTGTCCTTCACTGAATTTAGAAAGAGATTTTTGGTTGCTCAATTTGGCTAAAATGAGAGATGGATCTATGCAGCCTCAAGCTGAATCTGTAATTTTAGTTTTCTAGTGCTAAAAGTAATTTTTTAGTCATGACTCTTCAATAATTTAACTAAACCTGCTTTCTAAGTCCATCTACCCTCAAAAAGGTAGCAACTAAAATAGAAAGAAAACAGTTCCTAAGAGGCACAAATTAGTTTTCAAACACTATTAAACTGTAGAAAATAAAAAATAATAAAAATCTATCAATTCCACTTACATTTTCCTTTCTGTTTTTTTTTAGGTGTAATATTCTACCTGGGGAAACCAGATAATACGTCTTTAAAGTGTCTTAGTTGTAAACAGAAGAAATGTCACATTATAATTCAGCACTTCATGTACTTTACAGAAGAGAGAATAGCATGCACTACCTTTTGGAAGTCTGGAAGACAGAGCCACAGTTTCAGTTTGGAGCAAGTTCAACGTTATATTCACAAGAAATTCCTTAATCTAAAAAAAAGTTTCCTTTCCCCCCCTCTTTGCTGAAGCAAATTCTCGCCATGGAAAATCATTATTGCTGTTTGGTAGATTTGCATTCATCTTCTAAGACAGTTAAACCCCTTCTCAAAAGATTAAGGCAACTATTATTCATTACAAATATTAACATCTGTACATTTGAGACAAAAGATTGCTTGCTTCATTTCATGCTTAGTAGGATTAATATAGTACCTTCAAAACCTGGTTACCTGTTAGGCAATACCTTTCCTGCTGCTTAGAGGAAGCACCATACACCTGCTGCGTTTTTGACACATAGACTAACTAGTACCTGATTTAAGAGTGCATTCATATATTTAGTTCCATTTTGTGGACCTAACTACAGCCGACAAATGAACTGGGTAAACACAGAATCGGATGTTCCAGTGGCAGAAAAAGCATACTCAACTGAAGACAATTATTGTTTAGAACTGAAGATCTCTTATTCCTTTTTCATCTTTTGGTTATCATGTTACATGGAGTTATATGGAGTCCTGAGTAGTCTCCCTTGAACTTCTGACGGGAGGCAAGTTTCTCTTCTCATAGTTTCCTTACATTTTATTTCCACTGCTACTGCTGGATAAGCTATCCTTTGAAATACTTAAACCATAATGAAAAGCAGAACTCAGTTTACATAATGACACCACTTCCTGAAGAAGTCCACCCTCTTCTGGAGTTTCATTTCCTTCCTTCCCACCTTTTTCCCAAGGGACCAAAATGGATGGATGTTGACCATGACTTGCTGGGAGATGATCTTCTGAGGTATTGCTTAGTGTTTCATTCTGCTTTGCACGCTTACAGGAAGAATAGTCTGCTTTCAAACTTTCTAGAGAAGTAAACTGGGCACTTGATCGTACTGGAGATGAGGATGTCATACTAGTGGTGTCCATCTTGCCAGTAATACAGGTTTTGTCACCACTCTCTTCTTCCAGCCTTGAGAGAGACCCTCTATGGCCGCCAGAAGAAACTTGTTTCCTTGGCGATGGAGGGAGCTGCTTCCCATGGAGGACACTGTCATCCTGACCGAGGTTCCACTCTGCCTGATCACCAGCACTGCTGCAGAGCAGGGTAAGGTTGCTCTCACTAGGTGCATTCGACTTGTTCTGAAAGAAAGAACACGTGTTTATAGTTAGCGTCATAAGAAAACATCTCTATGTTGGCACTTCTCAAACAAAAATCCTGCAATGGATTTTGTGTGTTTCTAAATCACGGATCTCCTTATGTTCTAAATCACAGATCTCCTCTCAATGTTACAAACTCCAAGAAACAAAGCAGGATCAATTGTTTCTGCATTTCCTTGCCAGAACAACGCCTCTTATCCTAAGGATCACCACCTTTTGTACAGAAGGAATTCTGTCTCCCCTGTCCACTCAGCCTTTGCACGAGCAGTTTTGACAGGGAACAAAGACATACTTTGCTGATTTGTACCCATAATATGAGAAGGAGCTGCACTAAAACTAAAACCAGATGGCATTTCCTCTTTGCTTCAGTAATTAATTATACCAACTTTCAATATTAAATTTTTCTGGCCAAACAAACAAAAATGGGCATTTTATTAATGTGACCCCTGAATGACACTCAATAAAAAAATTTACAAGCTTTTTAAACATTTCATCAGAATTTGCTGTTCCAGTAACATTATCTTCTACTAAAGGATTCCTTTCAGCAAAAGTGAATGTTGGACAGTTGATAGGAGCTGGAATTTAAAATTACTATTTTTCTGGCTAAGATCAAAGCAGTGACTTGACCAGGGTTTTCAAGATGTAGGCAAGCAGTGTGCTTATACTACAGGTCCTTTGCAACTTTACTTAAAAAAATTCATGGAGCCCTCTTAAAAAACTCTGGAGTACTATTCTAGCAGTGTTTCAGGTTTAGTTATCACACAGATCCCACGACTTAATTAAGAAGGAAATACCACCATATCATCACTATGACTAGGTTAAGGATCCAAGGTGAAAATGGAAATAAATGCCTTCTAAACCACATGAAAAAAACCGACTAAACCCAGCTCTGGGAATACCAAACTGAACAGCTAAATATAATATCAAACTATTTGACTAAGTAAATTATTAAATTATTCACAGCTCTATACGTGGATACTGTTAGAAGTGAAAAATACTGTTCCAAGAGGACCTGGTAAACTGGCCAAAGGTGTATCCAATCTCTTGGATGGTGAAAAACCGTCACACATTGGCCAGCCTGGGTGTACTGCCACATAGCCCTAGGAAGATGCACGAGCAATTCTAAGGACTATGCTGCAGTGTTTGAGCTGCATGTTATTGATCCAAAAAATGCAGGATTCAACTACAAGGGGATTGGAGATGTGTTTCAAATGAAAGCAGAAGACTAACCGCCGTCTTGTACTCAATGTCATCCATTGACCTAAAGAAATCCAGGCTCTTAGCTCCTGAGAGCTTTCCTTGATCAGAACTGTGTGTGCTCAGCGTGTCCAAAATTTCCCCAAGCAAATCCATTTCTCCTTGATGCTGAGGAGTTATTCCAGTTTCACCAGAATCATCACTATCATAAAAGCAAGCAGAAGCTTCTTCACTGTCTTCTGATGACAACCTGAAAACAAAAACTTTTTGATCAGCTAGGAACATAAAAGCCATTTTATTGCAGCCACTTTTGAAAGTAAGTAGGAGATACGTTCCAAGACTTTGGAAAGTGAACAAACCCAGAATTTCTTTCCACTCAAGAATCTTCCTAAACATCGGATGCATATCATCTATGGAGATGCAGTCACCATTAGCTGGTTTTCCTGGCTCCTGGCTCTTGCCCAACCACTATAACTGTTATTTCAAGCCACCCTTAATACAACTTCCCAAATCCTCCCCTGTTTACACATTGTGTTTAGGTGAGTGTTGCTACACCTCTCCAGCTGACCTAGCCACATACTACTCTCGTACTCCAACCCTTCCTCTGTCGTATGATCAGATTTACTGGAGTACTGCCTATCTGCAAAAACTGGTGCTTTTGTCTCTTATTTTCTCTTCCAGTCATTGCAATACTCTTAACCTCTGGCCCCCAATCTACTGCAGTTTTCCCCTATCTCTGTCCAACCAGAATATTACTGCAAAGGGTATTGCCATGGCTCACTGTTTTTGTGGTATTCTTTGAGCACTTCAGTAGCTCCCTCTTCCCCGCTGCACCATGGCTTAAGCTGCTTGACTTTGCTTTCAAGGTCCTTCATGGTTTATATCCATATGCTCTTTAGCAAAAATCATCTCCTGAATTCAATCAGAGAATGCCTCCAGTGCAGCTTAAGCCTCAACTCCTTTAATTCACACAGAGGAAGATCTTGATATAAAACTCAGAAGGCAGTATTCTCTTGCAAACCCTTCAGAAAACTTTCCATTGTCAAGACCACAACACAAGACTTAAGAATAGATCAGCCGAGGTCACTGCCCATCATGCTGACAAACAGAATTTCACTGCTGCTTTGTGCCTGCAGTCTATCTTTTTATCTTGAGCCTGTGAAGACTGAGGATTACGTGAAGCTCTTCCAGGCACTATGAATAAAGAAAAGATACGATAGCCTATCCCTCTTTTTAAAAGTAGATTTAATTCTGAACTACTTCACGTCATTTAGATGTCAAGAATCGTGCTAGCAGCCTGGACAGGAGAAAGACACACCACTTGAACTCAGCTTCGCCAAATAACACCAGTTACTCTTTCTTCCACACAGACACACACATCCAAACCAGCTTCTTACTTGCTTGTTCTCTCCATTTCATCATCATCATCTTCATCCACTGCAAAATCCTGGTGACTGAGACACTGGTTGAAACGAGTCTGAAGGATAAAAAAATTAACATTATAAGTTTATCCTTTTTAAGATTTCAGCATTACTTATCTGGAGACTAACTGCTACTTTACTCATTAAGACTTCCTGAGCACTTGATGAGGAAAACCACATTATCAGTCAAGTCTTCTAAAGTTGTTATAAGAGGACGTGAAGTCCTCAAGCATCACCAATTAAAGAGCAAACGAACCATTTTTCTTCACAGCCTATGGAGGGCCTTATTATTTATGCAAAGCCTGGAGTGCCTTATCATTTATGCAAAGCCTTGATTAGCAGAAGACTGGCTATTGGTAGAAAAACACCACTCAAATCTACTACTTACCCCTTCTTGCACTTGCAAGAAAATATCCCAAAAAGCATTGTGATTTACTACTTTCTGCTAGAAATATTTTCCAAGTTTTGGTTGATGCAGTCTACTGAGCACAAAGAAAATTGGATTTTCGAAGGAGAAAATACAAAAGAAGGGAGGAGTCCCTTTACATAGCTATATTTATGTCAATGTGTTAAACAACTGCAGAGTAAGACATACTACAGCTCAAAAAACATGCACTAAGAATGCCTTTGTGCAGGATAATTTACTGAAAATTACAGTTAACTCAAAGTCAGTGTACACTCATGGGAAGCTTTTGTAGAGTAGCTGGTGTGCCATAAATTCACGCACTACTGTACTGAGTACGCACTAACCTGTTATACTGCATTATTATTTAGCAAACAAAGCCACGCTAAACATTTCTACAATACTTGAAAAAACCCAAAAAAGTCTGCATCTTGATCAGAACACTTAGTCAGGAATTTTAGCCACTTGTGCTTCACAAATGACTGTCTTGAGGTCTGCGCATCTCTCATACTCATTTTTTATCAAAAACCCGTGAAGATCACCTTTGCAGGCAATCCATCCACTGAAGAAACTCTGAACCTTGCAAAAACAGCCATAATTTAAAGACCTAGGGATAGAATTTCTGCAGAGGGAAAACAGTGTTGGCTAACGTAAAAGAAAACCACAGGCAAGTAAAAAGAAGTGCTCCTGCCCACATCTCATCATGCAGCTCACCAAATGCCTAAACCTACAAGCCCTTGATGGGGAAGAAATATGGCCTTAATTTCAGACTACAAGGAGCCCAGCGTTCTTGCACTGTGAGGATTTTGGGACGTCACCTATTACAGATGTTGTCAATGTTCTACATGTACCAGGACACTTTCTGTAACTTTTTTCCCTCCGTTATTGTCAGGAACGTCTCTATGTTCGCTATTTATTGACCAACACATTTGTTCTTGCTCAGCAAGAAAGGATTTAATTAAAGCGGTAAGTTTTGGTAACACTTCCCATAGCTCTTCATCCACAAAGACAAAATGCAGTTCTTAATGTGTTAAACCAAGTAGCAGTTGATAAAAAAAGTAAGAGAATTATTAGAATATTTAAAAACTATGAAAGAACCCGAATTAATCCTCATACTGACAGAAGTTATAGGATGGAATGCAGGGAAACAAACTTTTGATATCTCTGTCTCCTTTTCAGTTTTGTGAGTTTTTGTGTAATTCTCAGCAGTGTTGTAATTAATCATATTCCTGCTTGTAACTAAAGGGAAGTTAATCACTCTGTCTTAACTGATATTGTTAATTGGTTACCTTACTGATTACTGCCACAGCTACAGTCACTGTTTTCTATTTTCAAGTTGTTTAAACTATTTTCACTGGCACAATTAAAATACTTCTTTTCTATAACTGGTAATTCACTACTTCCTCAAGGGAATTGCAATGAATATCAGAACTTAAGCTCTAATCCTGGAACTGATTCTTAGAGAGCAAAACACTGTCTCACTTTCTTGGAGTTTGGGTCAGAGATGCTGCTATCACAATTATTGCTACTCATGTAAAGATTCTGCAGGAAAGAAGGCTCTTTAAAAATGTTGAGAAATTTCAGAAAACAAAACCAAAACCAACACTTATTCCTCTCTAGATGGATTAACTCTGTCAGTGGACAAAATCTTACAAGAAAAACACTCACTGATTCGTTGAAATAACAAATAATGTTTCAAAGAGCATAGATGGCAAGTTTAACAAAATAAAGAGAAAAAAGTAAAAGATAAAAACAAAGGTTGTGTCTTTAAATAATAGGAACTGAATAAAATTAATTAGAATTATCAAACAGCACAGGCTTGGCAGTGGCCCCTCAGAGCATCTACAAACAGCATTATACAAGTCTGTCAGTGAAAGTAAGAAAAACATAATATAAAGGAATATAAGAGAGCATATGTTGATAAAACAAATCAAAAACTTCTAGTGCCTGATGGTCAGACTCTCTCTTTGAAAAAGTATTTTCATTACCAACTTAAATATTTAGGGGTACAAAATCATACAGGGAGACTTTCAAGAAATAAATCAAATAAAATAGGATTTACATACAGAGAAAAAAAAAAAAGGAAGGAAAAGAAAATATCTGGCTGTAAATAACAACATTCTCCAGAGTTTACAGCTCTGTGAGCTAGCCATGAAGACAACAAGCAACACATGTTTTTCAATAGGTGACTTTCCTCTAGGAGCTGTAATAAAAATGACTGCAAGGGAGGGGTATGTCCAGACTACTTTGCAAAGAGAAAAAGAAAGAAAGAAACTCTTAATAAATTCCAAAAGGAGAACCATAAATCTTTTTCAATGCTCCACTAGGCAAAGTGACATAGTATGTGCACCTGCAAAAGCTGTCAAACTCATTTAAGAAGTCCTTCCATTACTGACGTACCCTGCTGTTTGCAGTTATTTAAGCTTTTAATTTCTGTCTTTTCTGCATTTTGAAGTGTGTAACCTTTTTTATACCCTTTTATGAAAAAAGGACAGACTTCTGTTTCCTTCCTGATCAGCATTCTAATAACAACCAGACCATTTAAATTTATTACCACAAGAAATGATAGGGTAACACTCCTTTCTTGCTGCACGAGAACTTTATAAAGTCTTAATAGACTGCTGTCATGGTTCTTTTTCTGTAAAAAAACGCAACACACTTCTTTAAAGTACTCAGTTCTTTTGCTTCTTCCAACTAGTTCTGCTTACATAAATCTATTATTCAATGTATCTGCTTTATATCAAAAGACAGGAATTCAACTTTCGCTATTTCAGATTTTTCTCTTTTGCTTCTTCCAACTAGTTCTGCTTACATAAATCTATTATTCAATGTATCTGCTTTATATCAAAAGACGAACAGGAATTCAACTTTCGCTATTTCATATTTTTCTCAGCTTCGGGCACACTGCACAGCAAGAACCCACATCTTATCTTGCTCAATGGAAGAAAGTTCAACGTATTTAAACACAGCAAGCTTGGGCTCCTCACATGTGGCAGCACCAAGCCTGTGTGTAACCTACAGCAAAGGACGAACTGCAGTGAGCGTGAGGATATATATCATTTTGTACGCATCCTGTACATCCTCTTTGGTTTCTCCCCCCTCCAAAATCTCATTCTGCAAGTGCTCTGCTACCAATGGTAAAAGCTGGCCACTGAAACCAGGAAAAGGAGCTGACGGTATAAACCAAAAAAACTGAGAACAGGCCTTTAAACTGTTCTCTTCTGCTTTGGCATAAAGATTTAGACAAAATACATGAATGCTGAAGGACTTAAATGTAAGATGTTTACCTTCTTGATTGGGCATGAAAGTCAATCTGCGAAATGACAGCTTTTTATTTAATGCCAGACCTTTCGGAAGCCCAGCTTTCTGCAATGAGTGCCTATTGATCGATACTATGGCAGGAAGTTTAACAAGGCTGCTGCTATTAATTGTCCTCAAAGTGAGAAACAAATAATCTTTTGATGAATGGCAGGACGCATATAATTTCACATTTACTGGCTACTCAATACATCAACACATACAAAGTTTCAAGAAAAGAAAATTACCTACTATACTTTTAACGCCACGAGGTACTGTTTCCTTTTTCTTAAAAAAATTAAAGATTATTCATTCCGTACAAGAAAGTAAAATAAATACAAGTCTGCTGTTATTTATGATTCACTATTTTATATTGCCTATCCTCCTCTACAATCCAATCACAGGCGTAATTATGGCCTCACCTCCGGTAGCAAAGCAAAAGATCTCAATCAAACTTCCTAGTTAAGCACAACCCATTGCCTTCCTTTCCAGTTAAATACTGTGACCTAAATCGACATAATGAAATCACAAAGAAGTCCTTCCCCTTACACTCCACAAGAGCTGAGACTCTTCTGGGGAAAGAGGGAAAACAGAGAAATCAAGAAGTACAGTTTCTAAACTTTTTCAATGCCCTTCTTTTTCTGGAACATGGTATAAAAACCGACAAGCTCAAAGTAGTGCTAGGGAAACCAGTTAGGTACAGACCAGGAGAGATGCAAGCAATAATTCTAGATTAATTTCTAGAAACAACCACTTCAAAAAATTACTTGTGTGCTTTTACTTCCAGAAAGTAACACCAAGTAATGATGTCTCGCAGAAATAATGGTCTGATATCAGGTAAGTTGTCCCAGTTGTGTATTAGATAGACGTTATCTAAGATGCTGTATTTGCCTGTTGATTATTTTAAAAAAAAAAAATTTGATTACAACACAAGACTCATGGATAAATAAAAAAAACCAACTTCATTCTTTGTAGGATAGAAACCTTCTCTGCTTTCACAGATGAAGACATACAGATGATGCATTTTTAAGAAAATGAAGTAGTTGGAAACATCCACAGCCGTATGCTGGGAAACAAAAGTGTTATCACTTTTGAGAACCTGTTAATCAAAAGGATAGGGAAACAGAGATTTAAAAAAAAAGTGAGTTACCAATGAGAGAAAAGAATCCTTTTCTGTGACAGTAAGGAGCAGGAAATCGCCCCAAATCTGTTCAGAGACACAACCAACCAGAAATGTGTAGAAAAAGAGTATGGGTACTTTGAAAAAAGAGTATGAGTACTTTGAAAGGAACAGCAAGATGTAACGGAACAGGTATCTCCACTGACTTCTGCAAAGTTAAAGGAAACATTAATATC